CTCTTCTCCAGGCTGAACAGCCCCCTCTTCTCCAGGCTGAACAGCCCCAACTTTCTCAACCTATCTTCATATAGGAGGTGCTCCAGTCCCCTGATCATCCTCATGGCCCTCCTCTGGACTTGTTCCAACAGTTCCATGTCCTTTTTATGTTGAGGACACCAGAACTGAAAACAATACTCCATGTGAGGTCTCACAAGAGCAGAGTAGAGGGGCAGGGTCACGTCCTTTGACCTACTGGCAATGCTCCCTTTGATGCAGCCCAGAATACGGTTGGCTTTCTGGGCTGCAAGCACACACTGCTGGCTCATGTTTATTTTCTCATAGACCAACACCCCCAAGTCCTTCTCCACAGGGCTGCTCTGAATCTCTTCTCTGCCCAACCTGTAGCTGTGCCTGGGATTGCTCTGACCCAGGTGTAGGACCTTACACTTGGCCTGGCTGAACTTCATAAGGTTGGCATCAGCTCACCTCAAAAACATGCCAGGGTCCCTCTGGATGGCATTCCTTCCCCCCAGTGTGTCAACCGAACCATACAGCTTGGTGTCATCGGCAAATTTGCTGAAGGCGCACTCAATCCCACTGTGCATGTCAGCAACAAAGATGTTGAACAATACCGGTCCCAACACCGATTCCTGAGGGACACCACTCGTTACTGGTCTCCAGCTGGTCATTGAGCTGTTGACCATAACTCTTTGCATGCGGCCATCCAGCCAGTTCTTTATCCACCCAGTGGTCCATCCATCAAATTGATGTCTCTCCAATTTAGAGAATAGGATGTCGTGTGGGTCAGTGTTGAATGCTTTGCACACGTCCAGGTAGATGACGTCGACTGCTCTACCCCTGTCCATCAGTTCCCTAGCCCCATCATAGAAGGCCACCAAATTGGTCAGGCAGGATTTCCCCTTAGTGAAGCCATGCTGGCTGTCATCAAGCACCTTGTTGTTTTTCATGTGCCTTAGCATGCCTTCCAGGAGAATCTGCTCCAAGATTTTGCCAGGCACAGAGGTGAGACTGACTGGTCTGTAGTTCCCTTAGTCATCCATTTTCCCCTTCTTGGAAATGGGGGTTATATTACCCTTTTTCCAGTCATCGGGAACTTCACCTGACTGCCATGATTTTTCAAATAGGATGGACAGTGGCTTAGCAAATTCATTTGCCAGCTGCTTCAGGACCCCCAGATGGATTTCATCAGGTCCCATGGACTTGTTCACCTTCAGTTTCTTAAGATGGTCTCGAGCCAGATCCTCTCTTACAGTGCACCCAAGGTCTTCATTCTCACAGTCCCTGCGGTTGCCTTCCAAGGCTTGGGTGGTGCGGTCAGAGCATTAAAGTGATAGCATTACTTTGCAGAGCATTATAGTAAACCAGAATCTTAAAGTCATTCAGTTGTTCTTAGAACCTCTTCCTCAATTGCACGTTTTTACAGAAATATGCTTTTGTTACTTGCTGACTCTGTGCAAGAAAGAATTCTGATTCCTTTCTGTTGGATGAATGATGGATGTAGGAACCTATAAAACTGGCTTCAGGCAGAAGTACTGGCCAAAACTCACAAGCTATCTTTGTACGAGAGGAAAAATACAGAGGACAGTAAACTTGTACCTGCCTCCTTTTTATTTTTTTTTTTTTATTTAAAGTTAAAAGAAGTAAGGAGAAGTGAAGGCAAACCAGTGCTCCAAAATGCACATGGTAGAACTTCAAACCCTGTAATTCTCACGGCTAGAAATTTCAAACCTGATTACTTGTATTTGAGTATCAAGTGTATTTGAGTCTGTTATATCAGTCTTCAATGGAAACATTTTAATTCAGGGGTATATAAATTCCTAGCTCTATTAATAGTGCAAAGTAAAAATAGTGGATGTATCCATTTAATCTTAAATTTGAAACAGGATTTGGATCCTTGAAATGTGCTGAGTTAAAACAGCAATATCATCATTGGAGAAAGAACTTCAGAAGTAGCAAAAAACCCATGAGAGAAAATGCCCTAATGGAATTTATAATGATGAAATACTTTCCATACGTCTTGGGTTCAGCAGTAGCAGTCACTTTTCTCCTTCTTAGTAGCTGGTGCAGTGCTGTGTTTTGACTTTCAGCCTGGGAACAGAGCTGATAACAATGATGTTTTGGTCTGGCCAAGGACTTTGTCAGCCCCATGCTCTGCCAGGGAGGAGGGGAAGCCGGGAGGAAGCAGAGACAGGACACCTGACCCAAACTGACCAAAGAGGTATTCTATACCACAGCACGTCATGCCCAGGATGTAACGGAGAGTTACCCGGAAGGGCTGGGAGACAATGGGGTTGGAGGAGGTATCGGTCAGGGCTTGGTTGGGCTGGGGGGGAGAGTTATCAGTCAGCTGGTGGTGAGGTGCTGTATTCTCTTCCCTTGCTATTTCCTTTATCATTATTATTATTGGTGGTAGCAGTAGTGATTTGTGTTATACCTTAGTTACTAAACTGTTCTTATCTCAACCCGTGGGAGTTGCATTCTTTTCGATTCTCCTCTCTGTCCCTCCGGGAGTAGGGGGAGGACAAGAAGGTGGGGGGAGTGAGTGAACGAGCTGTCTGGCTGGGTTTGAACCATGACACCATATCTATTTTGAAAATTAATTTTAAAATTAGCAAGCCTAAGCCACTGAAATAAACACAAGCTGTGCTATTTCATGACACTGGCTTTTAAGTATTATAAGGTCTTGTAAAACATAAGTAAGAATTTCTATAGTGGCCTCAACTTTTTTGTGGAAAAAACTTCAATTACCAGAGTGGCAATGAGCCAACTTCAATCAGCGCAAAATGGGCTGGAAGGAGCATAGGCACATTTCATGCTAAAACCACCTGCACAAACCCACAGGTGTGGTGTGGTTATCAAAAACAAGGGATGGAGATTTCTATAGACTTCTCTAAGCTTTTATTTTATTTTCTTTTTTTTTTTGTAAGTTCTGTGTTATTTTTATTAAATTGGCATAAATAGCAGAGGCCCATGGTTGAACAAAACTATTACATGTCATCTGAAGATTAAGATAAAGCACAAAGGCAAGCAGGGCTGTTTAGGGATGAGTGATTTTGTATAAGTTTAATTTTATAATGATTGTGGGCAGTGCACACCTTGTCTTTTTTTCCTAACATAGATGGCTGAGAATAACCACACCACTATTTTAACCACACCAAGTAGACCTACTCTGAGTAAATTAATCATTTACTACTTGGCAAGTATAATATACTGAATGTCTAATTAAGCTTAAAGTTAGTATTTCTTTTGACAAAATGAAACTTTCTTTACTTTGTAGGAGTTTTGTGTTTGTACTTTCTGTTCATTTGTGATAAGAGATGTCAAAATTGAAAATGTTGTAAACGTCCCTAAAATACTCTAGTAGTTTGTCTCACCTATGGCCATGGGTGACAAACTGCAGGGACAAGGAATTCAACATATTCCTCCTTTCAGTTCCTTGGGTTTTTGCTGTAATTGCCAGCAAGGATGTAGAATTGCCAGTATTGGAGGTGCTGGATTTCATGGTGTGAAGGATCATGGGCAGTAGCCTGGATCCAGGCCAATGAAGTCATTTCATGATTGCCATGAAACAGCCTTGAGAGGGCAAGAGCTTTCAATTGCTCTCAGCCTCGATGAATTTTAAAGAGACATTATCAATGTGGAGAACTCATTACCTTAATTAATTCCTGGCCATCCAGATCCTGGTCAGTAATGTAGTTTTGTAAAAGATATTTCTTAGTTTTCAAGTAAGCTTCAATAAAGGTTCTAGAAATAGTCTACGCCACTGATGCAAGAGAAGGACTATTACATGCTTACCATCTATTCTTCTACAGAGGTGGCTTCCCAGCATATTGAAAATTTCCAAGGAATTAAGTGGATTGGTTAGGCAGACCTGAAGAGCCTGAATTAATTCACTGGGTAGAGAATTTGAACACTGCTGATGTGGAATATCACAACCAGCACTGTAAAGGTATGTCTGATCAGCCTGAACATACCAAGTCCTTGATGTCATACTTTTTCAGGCCCTTGAGCTCTTCATTTAAATTACCTGTGGTGTTAATTAGTGGTAATTAATATATGTATGGAATGATGGATTTGATGAAATCTAATGCGTTTTAAGGAGATAGTATTAAAAGCAGGTGTTTGGTGTTCTGTGTTAATTACCCAGCTAGTTCTTTTAAATACAATACAGTTTTAAACCCAGGAGTTTAAAAACTATTTAGTTTCATTCTGTGCATTGATGTCCGTGTGTAGGTGTGTGTGCAACAGGGCTCAAGCATGTTCTCTGCTCTCCAGGACATTTATTGACACCCTTTCAGTTCTGACATGGGAAAGGTACACCTGGGTATTGCTGCCCACTATGCTGGGATCACAGGGTATGTAAAGAAAAGCTTCTCAGCCCTTCCAGTAACCCATATATGTACTGGAGCAGTACAAGCTACAAGTCCAAATCTGACCTTAAGTGTATAATATTTGGAACAAGGGGATTCATTAATATACTGTACAACTGTATGAATTCAGCTGAGAATAGAGCCTCTAATTGGTTAAAATTTCACAAATAAGGGCTCATAAAGTGATTCAGAAAAAAAGTAATTGGGGATCAAGACACATTCTTAGAATTATAGTCTCAGCATATAGCCTGAAATTCTCCATTTGCAACAACTGGAGCACTATTTAAATTAATAAAATGAAAGAGACCAGATTTCTCCCAAGGATAGTAAATATCAGTAACTTCAACATGAGAAAAATTGCTTCACACAACTCCTTGCTGAACATACTAATTCTGCCATTCCTTTCTTCTGATTTTTGGTTTCAGACAGATAAATTAAAAATTTATTTCCTTTGCAATCTTTTAGATTGGAATCCCAAGCGTGAAAAAGTTAGACATATCTGAACTCTGTATTTCTTAAGAGAATTAATTAGGGGAAAAATACATAAAATCCAGTTCAAGTGCAATGTTTTCAAGATAACCCACACATTAGGATGACTTTCTTTGGCTTTTATGTCTACATGCTTACCTCTGGGGTCAGTGCATTGTTATCTGAAGTCTGACTCGACAGCAAAATATGTGTGAAACCATCTTCTTTCCGGACTACAATGTCCCTGAACCGGCAGTTACTTTCGTTTTGACGCACGCTGTACCTTAGTCTCTTATCGAAGACATAATCTTTCTCCCTCTCTAGTTTCCTTTTCACAGTGCTGTGCAGATTCAAGCTTCCATTGGCCAGAGAAGAACCTTTCAGACAGAAAGAATCAAAGCACAATTATGTCTCAATCTTCAAAAAAATTGAGTGATACTTTCTATTGGCTTAAACACAGCTCAGTATTTACAATAGCCTCTACATGATAAATTTGATAAATAAAAAATGTGCCTGGCTAGTCAAATATGGCCTCAAGCCATTCTTACTATATTCCAATATACAGTACTTTTTGTTCTCTCATCAGACAACCTCTAGATCCAGTGAACTGTATAGCATGTAGGCCTGGTACTGTTAATGGGATTCAGCTCTGCTTTGGAAAATTGCTTTAAAAAGCAATTGTATCATAAACTTTCATATGAATTTGGGGCAATCAGCTTTGGACAAACTTGACAGGTTTAGTCCAAATACCATCTTTCAAAGGTACATCTTCCTTTTATGGTGACCAAAATGTCATTATCAGTTTCAAGTGACAACCTGAATACAAAGTTATGGCACATCTCCACATGTCAGTAAGTTAGGGGACTTCCTACTAAGCTGACACAACTGGCATTCTCTTCCACTTACCCTTGTGGGTAGTGTTAGAAGCAGCAGTTGGCCATCCTCTGCCCTCACCCCAAGCTTCTGCTCATTACATTTACAGTTAAAAGTAGTTACTGACTTTTGACTAATGGGTATGATATTGGACTTTGTACATATAAAATATTAGTGCTGATGCCATTTTTGGAAGGTACCCAGCAGTATGGAAAAAAGGGAACTATGACAAGGAAGGTACAGTCCCTCCTTAAAAATGAATGAGAATAAAAGAGAATTTATTCTGAATTATGCTGTGTACGAGCTGTAAACTATTACTTTGCTTACATTTACAGTTCCTCAGTAATAGGCAATATATAATGATTGGTAACAATGCTGAGATGGAGTGTTGAAAAATATCTTTACGAGATTTTTATGCAATGCCCTTTTTCTAATTACAGGTGTTTCACGATATTGCCATGAAAAATAAAGCAGAGGCAGGTCGTTGAGGAAGAGTTTAAAGACACTATGGTCATTAAAATAGTTTCGATGAAGAAAATTAACTCTATCCTAGCCAAAACCAGCACATTCTCCAAATCTGTTGTTTAAATAGATATAAGTCCACAATATGCTGTTTTTAAGAAACACCTTTGTTTGTTCTGTTTTTTACTCCTGACAAAGCTGACCTGTTCCAGCTTCTGGTATCAAATAACCAAGAATTTTTAAAGGGCAGATGACACGAATATTAGAACATAGATTTAAATTTTATTGTTTAAATGACCAGTTTCCAAGTAAAAAATCTCTTCTGGAATAGGAATGAATGGTGAATTCATAACAGGTGACTCTCCAAACCAAAATCACTTACCCTCATTTTAGATTAGCTAAACTTGATGTTTACATAGGTACCTGAAGTGTCTCATACCTTTCAGTTGGCAATGGCCTGTGGAATTGCTCACAGTGTGTGAAATACCTGTATATACACTGCAGTTACGATATGTGATGATAAAATACATAGTGTGGTTAATAGTATTTGACTGGTGCATCATTTGGCCTCATCATATAACGTGCATGTGTGTACACATGTATTTACAGACAGAAACGCATGTTTGTTAAAAAGTCTGTTATTTCAGTCAATCATAAAGCTCTTTTGCATTGTTAAATAAAGAGACACCATCTAAAGTATCGCCTGTACTACAGTGAATAGAGGATACAACTGGTGCAATGCAAACACTGACAAATGACATCAGATCATCAATTTGAAAAAAAATATCATTTGAAGCCAGCAGAATTTGAAATTTGTTTTCAGTTATCTACAAGTGTAGAAATCACCATGTACTTGAATTTTTAAAATTATGAATAATTTCTTATGGCATGTTTCTTTTTGATAAGGTTTTGCTACTGCATCTATTTTGACAAGTATTCTTACAAACAAAAATGAACTTGTGAAATTAATAATAGAAAACTAATATAATTGGGAATAATATACTGAAAGTAATTATCTTACTGAGGCAGAATTTTACATATTTCACTTTTATCTATTCAATACTTACTGTGTTGCTTGACCCTGTGTTGCTGTGTTGCGTATTGCTAATAAGCTACTTACATGTAGTTAGAGAGTTAAATCTCCCCCAAAAGTTTAAAGAACTTACAAATTCAAAGGCACACATGAACACTGAATGGAAGATGTGTCAGACCAACTGTACTGATTATCTACTTAGTGTTGAAGATTATGCCACATTTATTTTAAATACTGTTGGGAAGAGAAAACAGTAAAAGATTAATTCTCACAGATAATCCAACTCAAAAAAAGGCCTTACAGGAACAATTTTAATTTTTGTTGTATTCTTCTTTGTTTGAGAACTATATTCAGTTTGTAAATTAATATATGATGTAAGAAACTATAGATCTTATCACAGTATTTTAACTACCTGCATTCTAGCTGACAGAAATTTAACCATAAGAAAGATCTAAATTAAATATGAGAGAAACTTAAATGGAAAAAGTGACATTTCCAAGAATGAATGATTAACAGATCAACATATAGTGAGCAAATTGTTGTTTCGGTGTACACAATGCAACCCTGTAATCTTGTTTAATCTGACAAACTGGAGAAAATGATCAGCAAAATCTAAAGATAACACTCGTGAAACCAGGCTTATTGAGCATGTCTGTGTGTGAATGTGATGGAGCTCCTGAAGGTTTGCTCTAGAGCCACTAAAGCATTCCGATTTTCTCTGCATGAGGGTTAATACTTAGCACCTGCTTAATGTGCACAAGAGTGACAGTACCTTAATATGTCAAAATGAAAAATGAGTGTGACATAGGAAAAAAGAGATGTTCTCAACACAATCTATACTGCATCTGAAAGGAAGCTTTAGGTATCTCTAAGTGTGGTTCACTGGCTTAGTAGTGGGTATTTGACACTCAGACTAAGCACAAAAAAAGAAAACAGAATGGGTTAAAATATTCCTTCATTTAATGGGATTTTAATCTAATTATTATCTTGTTTTTAATCAGCAGTAGAACTTGTGGAATACCTAAACCAACAAAGATATTTAGAAGAAGTTTCAATACTTTTTAAAGGAACATAAGATACTCCCAGACCCCTGGTGCATCTAGTAATCCTTCTCCAAGAAGGCGGTAAAGGATGCTACTTATGGAGAAAATGCAAGCTTGGCCACTTTCTTCAGTCCTTTCCCCTAGTATCATCCCTAAGTGTTGTACAGTAATAGGAGAGGATTCATCCTTCCTGTTTCCTTCGGTATTTTCTCATGGAATTTTTAATGGATTTCTCTAATCCCCTTCTGAGACTGTTGACACTGTCTGTTTCCACAGCTTCCTGTGGTCCGAGTTTGAGAAGTTGTGTAGCCGCTACACATCGAAGAATTTTCTTTCATCTGTGCTTTTATCCAATGTTCTACCAGTTTCAGTGAGTGGTCCCTAGTTCTGCTATTAAGGGATTTAGTGAATAACAGTTCTGCGTTTTAATTTAGGATGCGCATTCTCCAGAACCTCACAACACCTAAGAAAGCTTGTGTTTCTTTCTTATTAGTTGGTGGAGACATTGCTGTTGATCACATCTGTCGGGATCTGGTGATGTCCATCTTGCCATTTTATTCCCAAAAATTGAATCGCCTGTGCAGGTCCCTTGACCTTACTCTGCTTAATGGCAAAACCGGCCTTCAGAGGGATTTGGATTACTTTCCCTTTCTCAAAAACATCTTCTGCTGTATCACCCCACACAATAATGCCATCAATGTATTGCAGGTGTTCTGGAACTTGCCCCTGTTTCAGTGCAGTCTGGATCAGTCCATGGCAGATGGTAGGGCTGTGTTTCTACCCCTGAGGCAGTCTTCTTAGCATCACTTAGCAACAACTAAAACATAGGTGTGTTATTAGCATTATTCTCAGACTAAAGGCAAAACACAGCACTGCACCAGCTACTAGGAAGGAGAAAAATAACTGTTACAGCTGAACCTAGGACAAGGCTTCATCTCAAGACTAACTAAAAATTTCTGTATACATTTTCTGTGCACTCCTGCACTTAGCTGTGAAGCACATCTGACATTTGCTTGGGCTCCATATAGGCAATCTCAAAGCTGACAAAAATGTCTACTTCCTCAGATTCTGCACAGGGCTGACCAGGAGCCACAGCTTCTGGTACCCAAACCCAGTTCCTCCAGGCTCCCTGTTTGTTCTACATATAGTGTTTGGGAGCCTTGTGAGCATTAATGGTTCATGCCAGGCATTTCACTTCCAGGCACTGTGGCAGAATGTCTGAAACCTCTGGCATAGCTGGCTGCCTCAGAGCTAGACGTGGGAGTCCTGACAAGCAGACTGCCACACTGCTCCTGCTCTCAAGGGACAAAGACTTGGGACCTTGGCTGAGATTTGAAGAAAGTTTTGAAACTCAAGATGTTTGGAACAAACCTTCTGTTGTTCAACAAACTGGCATTTTTCCCCTAAAACTTTCTTCATTTGTCATTTATAAAATTTCAGACCAGTTCTAGTGTGACATCTATCCTGATGAAAATGAGTTTGTGATACTAACAGGACACGTGGCAGAATCACAGAGGCGTTTTCTATGCTCAGTATTCACACTCCCAGGGAGTTCAGTAAATTATTGGACTTGTTGAAGAGTAGTGCAAGTGTCTTAAATTTGACATTTCAAATGATGCAAAATCCTGTATCAGGAAATGTTACTTCTCTTAAGTTTGAAGGGCAATATTAGTCTTTTCTAATAGCTGGTATTTTTATTTTGACCCTTCTTCACCAGTTTCTGTCTGCTCTTCATTTGGTAGTCTCATCTTTCCTCTTTGTAGTTTTCCCCACTATGAATGTGCTGGGTATCACAAAGCAGAACTAGAGAGACCTCTGACCTTGGGAGTGCTGCTGAGTACGGGTTTTTCAGATGAGAACCAGGTAGGGATTTAAAGATCTCTTGCTTTTGCCTACAGGGAGGTCAGAATGGAAGGGAGAAAGGACAGCAAATACAGAACAGATGTGATGGATTTGGGGAATGCAA